TTCCCCTTCCCATCCCTTCCCATCCTCCCTCCGCTCCCCCACCCAATCCTCCCCCCCATGTCAGTTTTTTAAATTATTGTTTTATACATTTTTGTTTTGTAGTCTAGCACATTATTTCATAAGTTTATTCTTAGGGAAGTATGTGCATATTATCATATATATCATATATATGTGTGTGTATATATATATATATATGTATATATATATATTTACATTCCATATAGTGCACCCATTTAAAGTGTGTAAATGAGCTGGGCATTGTAGTGATCTGTTATTCCAAAATCCAGGAGGCTGAAGCAAGAGGATCATAAAGCTCAAAGTAAGCTTAGGCTCGGGATGGGAAGGTGGCTCAGTGGTAGAGCGCTTACCTTGCATGCCTGAGGCCCTGGGTTTGATTCCTCAGCACCACATAAGCAAAAAAGAAAAACCCGGAAGTGGCACTGTGACTCAAGTGGTAGAGTGCTAGCCTTGAGCTGAAGAGCTGAGGGACAGCGCCCAGGCCCAGAGTTCAAGCCCCACGACCAGACCAAAACAAAAAGAAAAAAGTAAGCTTAGGCTACCTAGTAAGACCTTGTTCTCCCTGCTCTCAGTATGCAAATGAATGGATTTCGGTATTTTCACAGAGTTGTGTATTCATTGTACCAATCAACTTTTGAGCATTTTTATCACAAAAAGAAACCTTAGACCCCTTTGCTATCATCCTTCAGTCACAGTCTCTACCATTTTGAAGCCCTGTTTGTCTAGAAACAGAAAGATAGCTTTTCTTAATGTAGACATGATAAGTGGAATCATATCATGCTTTGTGATTGGCTTTTTTTCTTAGCCTGACACTAAACATAGATACAGCAATTCCCCTCTTGGGTGTACATCCCAAAGTAAGGCTTCACACATGTTTCAGCATGTGTTATAATTAATTACTTATTTTTCAAGTACTATTTCACATTACAGTTTATGTCCACCTGTCAGGCCATAGGCCTTTGTGTTATTTCCATTTGTGATTTTATAAGTAGTATTGCTTAGGACATGTAGGAGTTTTTGTATGGACCGTGTTTTGGGTTGTTTGGGGTGTGTATGGAGGAGTGCTGCATCTGTTGCCTCTTTCCTACAATGGCTGCTCCATTTCACATCCTGCCAGCAGCTTGGGAGTGTCCTGTTTCTCTGTACCCTCTCAACTTGTTTCTTATCTATATGTATATGATATAATCCTTCTGGGTGTTAGGTAGTGTCTCCTTTGGGTTTCGATTTGCATCTCCTTGATGGCTAAGGTTAAGCATCTTTTCATGTAAGTTTTTTGTTTTTTTGAGAAAAAATAACTATTTATAGCCATCTTTGCCTTCTCAGAGGAGGAAGAGATTAGACGCCAAATGGTTTCATGATTTGGGCTTTAAAGACAGGAACAACCATCCATTCATTTTCCACCCCTCTTTTCTTCCCCAATTTCTCTCTTTA